CTGAATAACTCCAACTTTGCCATCACCGTCTCTCAGTTCACAGTCCTGACTTCACTTAATCTCTACAGATTTCCCACTTATTCTGGGTTTTGTTTTTAACTGAAATCTTTGGCAACCTGTTAAACTGTTCCTAACATCTAAAAACCTTTGTGAGGTTTTTTTTTTACTGTAGCATTAAAACTTTCTTAAGAAATGGAATACTGTCCATCTAAAACTTATTCAACTTTAGCTGGGAAAAGAACTAAAATTATTAAAACTGGTTAAAGTCTACCTTTTAACACTTAGCCAACCCAGCATAAAAGAGAAACATGATGATGTATGTGATGGTATTATCTCATCTTTCTCACCATCTTAAAAATGTAATACCTCAGAAAAGGAACATCAATCAGACTTCACTGTGGACAATTTCTGCTGTTATTTAAAAGGCTCGTGTCTCATCTCCAGCATAATATTTAAAAGGCACTCATTGCTCTGGCTGGGTGCTCAGACGGTTGGAGCATAGTCCCGTACACCAAAAGGTTGCGGGTTCGATCCCGTCTTTGATTCCTGGTCAGGGGAGTTCAGGAGGCTCACATCAATGTAGTTTTTTTTCTCTCTCCCCCTTCCTCTCTCCTTTAAAAATCAATGAAAACATATCCTCAGGTGAGGATTAAAATAAAATAAAAGGCACTCAATTATTGTTTTAGTTTGATTCATGTTTGCAAATGGCATCTCAGTTATTTCAAACATTAAACACTGCAAACTAATGATCCCTTCCCAGGATTAGGATTTTAAGTTAATCATGTAAGTTCTTTTTATATGAAAATAGCAAGCAACAGAAAGATCAAGAAGGTACAAAGGAAAGAAAAAAATAACCTTCATTTGGGATGCACGGAGAGGAGCCAACAATAATCATACTTCAAATTCCTTGCCTATGTGCATGCAAGTACTTTTTTAAAGGTAGAGTCCATATACTTTATTAAAGGGACTCTAAAAAGGTTAATGTTATATATTGTTTTAAGGTATTTAATTTTGAGGGGGAAAAAAGATTTTTAATTTTGGCCTGGCTGGCATGACTCAGTGGTTGAGGTTCAGTTCCCGATTAGGGCACGTGCCCTGGTTACAGGCTTGATCCCCAGGGTGGGGCATGCATGAGGCAGCTGATCAGTGATTCTCTATCATCATTGATGTTTCTATCTCTCTCGTCCCTTCCTTCCTCTCTGAAATCAATAAAAATGTATTTTAAAAAATTATATCTATTAAGATATTTAATTCTGAACATAAACATCCAAGGGAAGTACATTTTTGAAATTACATTTATTGTTTTATTATACATATTGTATTCTATTAGAACTGAGAAAAGGGGTGGCCCCACTCCAGTAACAAACTTGCCATCTTTTACAAAATTTAGTTAGAACTGACAGTGTTATGGTTAGCATTTAATTCCTGAGATTTTGAACATTATTGTTTTCTGTGAATTTACAACAAATGCTCACACTAATTTTAAATTACAGTATGTCTGGAAAAAAATGAAAATAGAATTAATATGTTAGCAAGGAAAACAATCATCCAAATGTGTATATTAACTTAGGCATGAAATTCAAGCCCTGTTAACTCAGCACTTTAATAACATTTAAATATACGTAATCTTTTCAGAGATTTTATTTCAACTATGTGAACTTACTATAATTTATCCAGACTGTAGTGGCATTATTTTGACTAAAGGCAAAATAATAACCTATCACTTTCTTCTGTACCCATACAGTCAGCATGTGAATTCTATTTAGGATGGATAAACAACTGACATGTGGGGATAATGCACAAAGACACCTGATTCTCTTGTAATTACATTTTCTATCCCTTTTAAATGAGATGATTTTAGGGAAGTTAGAGGAAAAAAAACCAGAAAAGCAATACTTTGCTATGAAATGGTGACTAATTTGATAGAATCCAATGCAAGATCATTCATATAAACATTTACAACAATGAAAATATAAATTATTAATTATGCAGCATGCTTTAGGGCCACTTCTACAGTTAGAATGAATTACAAATATTAAATGCCTTTAGTCCATTCTCTGTCGATAATTCGGTAAGTCACGTTTACACAGTTAAAAAATATATATTTCCTACCTATTCATTTCTTCTGACTTTTAACAGTGAAAGCATTTATCTTGGGCTGGGAAAACAACCCTGACTGTAACCGTGAATAGAGGGGGTATTGTACACCTGTTCCAAAAGCTGGAAATCAAACAACAATGTTAGAATTACTTACAGGATTTACCTGAAGAAATGCTTCATAGGCAAGTGCAATGGAAAATCAAACATTTCCCAAAATGACGTATTACATGTAAAGTTTTAAACTTCCTTGTTTTCATTGTAAATGTATGAGTTTTATATTAAAAGATTATAGGCCGTGATTAATAACCATTTAACTATTAACTGACATAAAGCTTTACAAAAATAAATCTAGTAGCTTGCTGGGAGCTAAATCTACTCAAAATCTTTCTGTACTTTTTAAAGCAGTAAATGATTTATTAGAAACTTTATTATCACAGTGGTACAGTGCTTAATCTGATGTCTTATATTATACTTGGTTTAAAGAAAAAGTCTGCCCAAGCCATCACCAAGATTTCAGTTCAACCTAATGAAGAAGAAACCTGAGTTTGGATGTAAAATAAGCATTCATTCATTTTTCTCAGGTATCATACATGTGCCTTCAACCCA